CAGAGCCAGAGTCGGGACCGGGAGCATAACCAGGAGAAGTCTGGGCTCCCGGGCCGAATTCGAGGCTTGGGCCCCTCCTTCCTTTTCCCCATCCCCCTCCTCATTCCCCCATCCTCCGTCCTCTTTCCTTCTTCACATCCTCATCATCCTTCGCGATCGTTGTCCCATTCGTTGTCCTTGTAAGCAACTCCTCCCTGTCGCGCCCCGAGGCGTGTCGGCAGGGCGGGCCGTGCGTTTCGTCTGAGACATCTTGCCCAGATATGATGCTTAGGCTGAACACTTGCACGAGTTTCACGGATGGAGCGCGGGGCGTTTTCAACATGTGTTTCTCGTTTCAGCGCCGCGCACACCCATTGTAAGAATTTGCAAGAGTTTCACGGGTGGAGGGCGGGTCGTTTTCAAAATGTGGTTCTCGCTTCAGCGCCGCGCAGATCCGTCTTAGACCGTTGCACGAGCTTCACGGATGGAGGGCGAGCCGATTCCAAAATGTGGTTCTCTCATCGTTGCGCTTCGCACATCCGTTTTCAACAATTGCATGAGCGTCACGGATGGAGGGCGGGTTCGTTTCGAAATGTGGTTCTCGTTTGAGCGTCGCGCATATGCGCAGATGTATTTAAAGTGTGTAACCACTTCATGGATGGAGGACGGCTATTGTCCAAAATGTGGCCCACGTTTCAGCGCCACGCACATCCGTCTTAAAGATATTGAAAGGATTCACGGTTAGAGGGCGGGTCGTTTTCAGAATGCGGTTATCGCCTAAGTTGCGTACATTCGTTTTCAAAATGTTCATGGGCATCACGGATGGAGGGCAGGTCGTTTTCAAAATGTGGTTCTCGTTTTAGTGCCGCGCATGTTTTCATGTACGAGTTTTACGCATGGAGGACGCTTTTTGTTCAAAATGCCGTTCTCGCCTTAGCACCTCGCACATTCGTTTTAAGAGTTTGGAGCAGTCTCAAGGAATCGCACGGCTAACGTACCAGAAAATGCATTTTGGCACGATGTCGGATTGTCAGGGCGCAACAGTTACTTTGGTTCGTGGTGTTGAAGTCCCAGAAACGGTATTCGGGCACGATTCAGGATCGCCAAGACGCAATTGTAACGGTGATTCTTGTCGTAGAAGTCCAAGGAATGGTATTCTGGCACAGTTCAGGATCTTCAAACGGTTGTCTTCCAGCGGGGCACTTCCCTCAGCGAAAATGAATCGTTGTAGGGGCCCACCAAATTGGACTTGGAGGGAGGCCAATTGCAACATCGTTGATAAGTCTCGGTTTTACTGCTATTCCATCCTCGCCTTCGTCCGTTCTCGTTCTATTGTAAAGGCCTTACGGCCGGTGCCGCCGACCCTGAAGGCGACGACGAGGGCGACGAGGAGGAGGAGGGGGAGGAAGAGCAGGAGGAGGAGGAGGAGGAGGACGCGGTGGAGCAGCAGGAGGGGGAGGAAGAGGATGCGGAGGAGGATGAGGAGGGGGAGCAAGGGCCGGGGAAGGACGGGGAGGGAAGGAGCAGTAGGAGGACGAGTCCTCGTCCTCGTCTTTTCTCGTACTACTCCTCATCATTCCTCAACCTCTTTCCTCCCCATCACCCCGGCGCGCTCCCGCGCGCGCGGGAGAGGAGGAGAAGGAGAGGCAGGAGGAGGAGCAGGAGGAGGAGTAGGAGGTAGGGGAAAGGAGGAGGAGGAGAAGGAGGAGGAGGAGGAGGAGGAAGAGGAGAAGGAAGAGGATGTAGGGGGAAAAGGAAGCGGAGGAGGAGGAGGAGGAGGATGGATGAAGAGGGAAGGGGAGGGGGGGGAGGAGGAACAGGGGCGGGGGAGAGGGAAGGAGGAGAGAGAGGTGGAAAGAGGGGCGGGGGAGGGGTAGGGGCGGGGAGGGGGAGGGAGGGAGGGAGGCGGGGAAGGAGGAGGACAGGGAGGGGCGAGGCAGGGGGAGGGAGGGGGAGGGGGAAGGAGGAGGCGGAGGAGGACGAGGAGGGGGAGGAGGAGGAGGAACAGGGGCCTGCTCCTCCTTGTCCGCCGCTGCCTCCTCCTCAGCCTTCCTCCCAGCCGCGCAGCTCCGGCCGAGGGCGTGTGCCGCGGGCTTCCAGCACACCTCGCATTCTGCGCTGAGTTTCTTCCTTCCTCCTTCCCTGCCTCCTTTCCCCTGATGTTGCTGCTCCTCCTCCCCTCCCTCCCTCCCTCGCCTCCCCTCCTCCCCCTCCTTTCAGCCGGCTGGGGGTCTGAGGAGGCCCAGCACTAGTTCCGGCCAGCAGGGAGGGTGGACATATTCGAGGCGCTGGGTTCGCGAAGGTGCTTTGCCCTTCTCGGTGTCTGGAGACTTTCTCGGGCCCAGGGACCATCAGCTTGAGGGATCCGCGAACCCAGTAAGGAACTTGCATCAAATTTTCTTCTGACGCGCGTGCAACACTTTTCCTTTGCTTGACTGTAACCACTACCTCCTGCACGTCATGCTTACCCCCCTCCTCCGCCTCCTCCTCCTCCTCCTCCTCATCATCATCATCATCAGTATCAGTATCATCATCATCACCACCACCACCATCCCCATCCCCATCCCCATCCCCATCCTCCTCCTCCTCAACCTCCTCCTCCTTGTCCTCTCCGAAGGGGCCCCATGGGGTTCTAGGACTCTCTCTCTCTCTCTGTCCCCCTCAGTGGCGTGCAGTCCTCCTCATCATCATCATCATCCTCATCATCATCAACATCATCATCAGCATCATCATCATCCTCTTCCTCTTCCTCTTCCTCTTCCTCCTCCGCCCCCTCCTCCTCCTTCTCCTCCTCTTGCTCGTTCTCTTTCTCCTCCTTCCTCCTTCCTCCTCCTCCTCCCCATCGTCACATCCCTCCTGCAAGGCGGCGCCTGTGCACGTGTCAAGACTCCGACGCGGCCAAGCTGTGTCCCCCCCATGGGGGTCGTAGACAAGTGAAACTACCTGCCCGCGCGCACGCGTCAGGCGCATGCCAGGCCCCCCCCCCTCCGCGCACTTGTTCTCAGCGTAAGGAATACAGCGGGCCAAGTTGGGCCCCTCGCGGGGGGGCCGTGGACACGCGAAAAGACATGCCCCGCGCGTACGCGCTGGGCGCATGCTGGGTCCACCCCTCCGCGCACTTTTCCTGAGTGTAAACAGTACAGCGGGCCAAGCTGGGCCCCTCGCTGGGAGAGCCGTGAGCACGCGAAAAGACATGCCCCGCGCGCACGCGCTGGGCGCATGTTGGGTCCGCCCCTCCGCGCACGCGCTGGGCGCATGTTGGGTCCGCCCCTCCGCGCACGCACTCTCACGTGTAAAGAACCTGGCGGGCTGAGCGGGCCCCTCGCTGAGGGGGGGCCCGTCGTGGCCAGGTACGTGTCCAACCACGTGCCGAACGCACGCGTGCCGAGACTCACGTTGGAGACCCCATCCCGTCCGCAAGCAGAGCTTCGCGTGTCCGGTTCCGACGTCCAGTGCTCGACACCCTTCTGGTGGAAGGCTTCTTCGGCCCGCAAGCGAAGGACAGAACCCCGGGCCGGCGCCCTTGCTGGGAAAAGCGGATCCGGGGTGAAATATGCATCAAATGGACCCAGGTGGGGTCCCCTTTCCTCCTCCTCCTCCTCCTCCTCCTCCTCCTCCTCCTCCTCCTCCTCCCCCTCCCGCTCCTCCTCCTCTCCCTCCTCCTCCTCCCCCTCCTCCGCCTCCTCCTCATCCTCCTCCCTTGGCCGCCTCCAGCTGCCTGATGTTGCTGCTACCGCTGCCGCCCGTCCTGTGGCAAGGTCTGCCCAAGGCCTGGAGGCCCTGGTTTTGACGTTTGGGATGTCTCTTCAGTCAAGGTTTAAGTGATTCTAGAGCTGGAGTTCACTCTCTTCCATATATATATATATAGATGTTATCATTTGTATTAGTATGATTACTAGTATTATGGTCATGTTCAGTAGTGTCAGTGTTATTGCATGCATGTAACACCCAAACATATATACATACGACACACCACATACACCGAAATGGATGCATACATCCATATATATATATACATATATATATACACACACCAGACTTGTGGAGTATGATATGTAAAAAAAAAGTACATATGCATAAACATATGCATATACACATACGCATACACTTACTTACCCCAAATACACACATACACACATACACTCATATACACACACACACACACACAAACACACGCACATGCTCGCTTTGCTTTCACACATCTGGGCCAGGAAGGTTGAGGCTGCTCAGCGCACCGCCTCCAATGTTGAGGCCGACTGTTACCCTCTGGCTTGTGGAGGAAAAAACACTGATGTTGCTGCTCCTCCTCCCGTCCCCTAGGATGCAACTCCTGGGGGGTTAACACTCTTGCATCGGCGCTGGTCTTTTCGCGGTCGTTAGTCGGCTCGGTTTGGGCAAGTCTGGCCCAATTCGGCTTAATACCACCTCATCTGGCTCCATCCGGCCGAATCCTGGGCTCGATCCAGCCCCATCCGGTGAAATGCCTTCTTAATCGGGCTTCATCGCCCTGAATGGTTCTAAAGACGGCCTCCCAGGAGTTGCATCCGAGCTCCCCTCGCTCGTCTGCCCTCCTCGGGCGGGGCCAGGGCGAGAAGACATCCGTTCTCAGAGCGTTCCGGGAACGCTCTCAGAGCGCTCCCGGGACGCTCTGAGAGGGCCGCGGCGCCCGATACATCACGATACATCTTCCAGAGCCGCTGGATCTCGGAGATTCTCGATCTGTCCTCATCTGGATCCGTCACCCTAACCCACTCGTGCCGCGCTCAGGGATGGCCACGTCAGAGGATGTGGCGGCGTTCCCCGCACCCCCCCCCCGCGCGGCAGCTGTTGCAGGCTGCCGCGGCGGCGGGTGGTGGGGGCGGGGGCGCGGCGCGCCGCGGTGACGGAGTGCCCTGCGCTGGCGCGGGGAGAGAACAAAAAAAAAAAGATGGATGTGTCTTCGTCCTGACTTCGTCTGCCCTCCTCCCCCTCCCGCGCACGCTCGACGGCGACGGTTGGCGAGGCAGCAGCCTCGGGCCCAGGTCAGCATCCCAGTGCCCCCCGAGGCGGTGCAGTTCCACGTCGTGGCCGGCAGGCCAGAGGGGGGAGTGGGGCGATGAGGGAAGGAGGGGGGGGGAGGGAGGAGAAGGGGATTGAGATTGAGGGAGCGAGAGAGACAAAGGGGGGTGGGCAGAAAGAGAAGGAGGAGAAGGAGGAGTAGGAAGAGGAGATGGGAGGAGCGAGAGAGGGGGAGGAGAAGATGGAGGAGGAGGAGGAGATGGAGCAGGGTTGGGGTGATGATGATGATGATGATGATGGTGATGATAATGACGATGGTGATGACGATGATGATGATGGCGATGCTGATGGTCATGGTGATGGTGATGGTTATGATGATTATCATGACCATGAGCATGGCCATACTCATGAGGATTATGATGATACTGATGGTGATGATGATGATGACACTGATGGTGATGATGGTGGTGGTGATGATGATGATGATGATGACGATGGCATCGACGACGACGACGACGACGACGACGACGACGACGACGATGATGATGATGATGATGATGATGATGATGATGATGATGATGATGATGATGATGATGATGATGATGATGGTGAAAATAGTGGTGATGAGCCACCGCGCGCTCGAGCGGTTTCCAGGAAGGGGACGGGGGCGAGGACGGCGGCAGTTGGAGGCCATTTGCGTCGCGGGCTTCCGCCCGAGGCGGAGGTGAGGCGGGCGTGGCGGAGGCCATGGCGCCGTCCAGCTTGCTGCGGCTGGTCGGCTTCAACCCCCTATGCGCGTCCACGGCGGCCGCGCTGATCCTGGTGGGCACCAAGGCGGCGTACAGATGCGGGGAAGGCGCACTGAGGCAACGAGTGGAACGGCGCCTGCGGGTGGAAGCAGGTTACGAACCAGGACCGCACACGAATCGACACACGGGCTGTGCCATCCTCCCGGGAAGAGGGATACAGGAACGACACATCAGGAGAACGTGGCCCTCACCACCGGGAGCGGGGGGACGGGCACTCGCGCTGCGGATCAAGAAGGGCTTGATGGACGTGGTGTATGGCGCGATGTACTTCCCTGTGCAGCCGACGGATGCGAAGAAGCTGGGAGCGTACAAGCAGGGCGTCAAGCAGACCGTCAGCTGGTGGAAGGCGATACTACAGGAGAGTCCGCGGAGAACATTGCCGTGCATCTTCGCAGATACGAACGACGGGATCGGCATTACAAAGATGGACGGAGTTTGGCAGGTCGCACACTCAGGCGGACTGGGAGGAGCAGTGACAAGAGAGTGACGAAGAGGGGGAACGGGGAAATTTATACGGCAAGTTCTGGAGGAGCAGTACATGACAGCACCGACAACGTTCAACGACAGGCTGGAGCCAACGTGCTACGCGAGCGGACGGTATGGGCGACCTGGAGGACACAGCGCGATCGACTACTTCTAGGTGCCCCAGGGCTACCTGGATCGGGTCGAAAAGGTGCGCGTGCTGAAGGACATGGGGGCGAGAGTACAGGCAGTAAATGGTATACCTCCAAGGGACCACATGCCGGTGCTGATGGAGATCCGCTACCAGAAACATACGAGAGAGGACACCCCCCAGGACAACAACGTGAAGTGCGACATGAATGCGATGATGAATGCCGTGGCCCATGGTAGAGGCAAAGCCGGGTTCCTTTCTGAGCTTGCGCAGAAGCTGGGGGAGCACGAGGAGCAGTTCAAGGAATATGCGGAAGATGGGGCGCCTGACAATTACTTCGAGCTGCTGGAACGGACCTTGGTGGAGGTCGGAGGGAGACACTTCGCGCATGCGGCTAGCAGGCGGGACTACCGTTGACAGAACTCTGAACGGCGCGAACTCCTTCGGCATCGGGCGGAACTGCGGGCACGCAGGAAGTCAATCAAGGAGGACGGGGATGTCGACCAGCACCTTCGGGGCACCGGGGACCAGCTGAAAGCGCTCTCGGCCAGGCTGCAGGCGCGCGGGCGACGGGCGGCCAGAGAGCAGAAGGAAGAGTATGTTAACAAGGTGGAGGAGCGCTGGGAGCAGAGGAGGTTCGCGGAGGAGATGAAGCATTCGCGACTGGCGGCACAGTGTCGATTTGGCGCAAAACACAGACGGGCGGAGGTTTGGACCCTCACCACTGGAGCGAGACGAGCGGACGCAGCAGTGGAGCAGGCCAGGACGAGATGGAGGAGCAGGAGCTGCTGACCTGGATTGGGGCCAGCGGCGAGAACGACGTTGAGGACGGGGAGATCCACCGCGGGCGACGGAAGAGCTGAGAGAGCTCGCCAATAAGGACGCAGGGAGCATTGCTCGCTACGCCCGCACGGCGCCGAAGAGGAAGGCGGCCCCGCCTGGGACATCCCCCGTTGAGCTGCGGGGCCTCGCCCTGCACGCGGCTTCGGGGGCGAGCAGAGCGACCAGGTGCTCTGCAGGAACGTGCTCTTCCACGGGCTGCTGCTGATTCGCAGGGCGAACTCAGCACCGTTGCATTGGCGCAGGAGCAGGGCGGCGGGCCTAGACAAGCAGAACGGCAAGGCGGCTGCGGCGGGACGACGAGTTATCGATTGTCTACCAAGCCTGGGCAAGGCTTTTTATTCCAGACGGCCCACTTCGCGACCGCTCCCCATGAGCTACGGCTTCGCGAAGGGCAGGGGGAGAGAGGGCGCCATCTTGGCATCTCAAGTGCCCAGCTGGAGGCTTGCTTACGGAGGGCGGAGCTTCGCGGTGACCACGAAGGACTCGCAGACAGCTTTCGGGTCGGTGAGCTGGGAGGCGCCGGACAAGGCAGCGGAGCAAAACACGGGCGGGCTGGACGAGGAGCTGCGCAAGCAGAGGCACAGGGGCACGGCGGTGGACTTGCCGACCCCAGAGGGGGGCCACGCGGTCAAGACCGGTGACGGGCTCATGATGGGGGACCCTTTCAGCGTCGACACCTTCTCCACGGCTCTTGCGGAGCCGACGCAGAAGTGGTCGTGGCGCTTCCGAGAACTACATCCAGAAGCATACCAGATGATGTGCGGGTGGGAGGACATGCCAGACATCGACCTGGGGACCCACCAGTTCGCGGACGACCTCAGTCGACACCACCTGCTGGCCAACGGGGCGACGATAAAGGACGCAGCGAAGATCCTCCGGCAGGCGGACGACGCGCTGGACAGAGAACTGGCCGCGGTGGGAATGCGACAGAACAGGGAGAAACAGGTGACGAGCGTCTTGACCCAAGGGGGTGGCTCGACGGCGTGCATGCGATGGTTGAAGGAGCATGGCAAGGGCGCGGTCGTGACCCAGGGAGAGCTGAAGGACGTCGTGAGGTACCTGGGCCCCCACACCTCCCCGAAGGGCTCTGCCGAATTTGAGGTACCTCGCAGGTGCGAGGCGGCTAAGACGGCGTTCTACGCGATGCTGGCCTTCTGGAGTCTAGCTACACCGTGGAGGTGGAAGAGGGCGGTATTCCTTGGCACGGTGGCGGGGGCGATACTCTCTGGAATAGAGTGCTTCATCTTGTCGGAGGCACGGCGCATCGCCATGGCGGGGGGGGGGGGGGGGGGGGGGGCGACGCAGCGGCGCGAGGATGGGGGAACCAAGAGCTCGACCGCGGAGCCGGTGCTGGTCCACTGGCGCGCAAGCGACACGAAGACCGAGCTGCTTGTCAGGAGGCTGAAGCGGTGCCAGAGCTTGGCGCGGCGACCACGGCATCATGCTCAACTGCTGTCAACTTCGTTTGCTGATCTACCTGGAGTTCACGCCGAGCCTCCGTGCGCGGAGGAGGGCCTGTCGGAGTCAGCATCGCCGTGGGCTTGGCGCGTGGGGGGGACATCCTAGCGGCGGTCAACGCCATGGAGGACGAGACTGAGGTGCTGCGCGAGCTGGGAAAGGCACCGTGGAAGCTGGAAGCGGATCGGGACCCGGCGATGCAGCACGTGCTGGTGGGCTTCGTGAAGGCGAGGGCCAAGCAGCACACCGCGCGCGCACCACCACCTACGAGCACACACGTGTCACCACAGGACCAGCGGCAGGGGCAGACGCTGGAGCAGGAGAAGGACCCCCTCAGGGACATCTACGCGCGCGGGGTTGAGCTGGATGATGGCAGCAGGTGCAGGGCTCGTTTTGCTGCGCGACGCCAGCTGCTTCATCGCCAGCGCAGCGCTCATCAGATCAGAAACTTGTGTCACATCTGGACAAAAAGCAACCAGGGTCTTCGCGGGGCAGGTGACAACGGCCAAACATCTCGAACGAAGTCCGCACAGGGGGTGGTGTGGAAAGTGCAGCAGTAAAGTTTTTAACGGAAGATCCCGCGTTCCTTCTCCTGCGATATGTGTGAGTACGAGGGGGCCACTTGGGATGACCTCAGGAGGCACCTTGGCCCAAACCATCCCCCGTGGAGCATCGCTGCAAAAAAGCCTGGTAGACAGGGCGATGGCCGACGCGGGGGGGGGGGCCCGAGATCCCCAGGTGAACGAAGCGCGGCGCGGAGGAGACGGAAGCCCCTGGATCGGACAAACCCCAGGACAAGAGACAGAGACAGCAGGATGCATGAGCAGGTGCTGGACAAGGAGAAGAAGTACGGGGCGATGTCGAGGGCCCACGGCAGAGTCGGAATGGGCGACACTACGGGCAGGGCGACCTGGACGTCCGCGGAGGGCCCGGAGGAGGACACGGAGCCGACGGGCGCGGCCCCCCGCGGGCCGCCCGGGCGCGGAGCGCCCGGGCGCCCGGCCGCCGCGACGAGGGGGAAGGCGCAGGCCCCCGCGGAGGCCTCCGAGAAAGCGCGAGACTTCAGGCCCTGATAGAGAGGGGCGCTGTGCCGGCGGATGTGCTGGATGGACGGGGAAGCACGTTTCGGACCTACCTTGTCTCCCCTTTCTGCCCCAGATCCCAGTCGCAGCGCTGCCTGGGGCAGATTCGGTGACCAAGTGTGGGGGCCGCTGGGGACGTGGTCGTGGTCGGGGAAGGGGAGGGGGGGAGGGGACAAGACGGAAAAGGCGGCCAGCCGGGAGTAGGGTGAGAGCGGGCCACCCTCCTGGAGGCACCCATGCGGACTGGGGGGGGGCCTGGTCGGCGCGGAGGCTTCTGGGAAGGCGACCTGTTCTCGTGGGACGAAGCGGGGCCCCCGCCTGGCTGCGCGCCGATCGGGGTGAGCCCCTGTATGGAGGCAGCGCGGGCCTGGTCCCGAGGGGCCAGGGCCTCAGGTACTTTTCTCCGCTCTTCACTTGCGCGATGCTCCGAGGCCCTGGTCCCAAGCTTGCATCTTCGTAGTGCTGCACAGACCGCCTCCCATGAAGCCATTGATTGACTGATAATAATGATGATGCCGATGATAATCATGATGACGATGCTGATGATGATGGTGATGAGGGTGGGGGTGGGGTGGTGATAGTGATGGTCTTGGTGATTAGGATGGTGATGGTGATGGTGGTGATGATGATGGTAGTGATGATGATGATTGCTGAGTGATGGTTGATGATGATGATGATGATGATGATGCTGATGGGGATGATGATGATGATGATGATGATGCTGATGCTGATGATGATGATGATGATGATGGTGATGGTGATGATGATGATGATGATGGTGATGGTGATGGTGATGGTGATGGTGATGGTGATGGTGATGATGATGATGATGATGATGATGCTGATGCTGATGCTGATGCTGATGATGATGATGATGATGATGATGATGATGATGATGATGAGGATGATGAGGAGAGGAGAGGAGGAGGAGGATATGGAGGAGGAGGAGAGATGGAAGAGGAGTATGGATGAATTGCAAGGAGGAGGAGGAGAGAGGAGGAGGAGGAGGAGGAGGAGGAGGTATGGGGATCTGGAGTTTCGGCAGCAGCGGCAGGCCCTGGGACAAGTCCGCACTGTGCAAGCTGCGACCCGGCCTCCCAGTGCTGGCGCTGAAGATTCGGGCCGCGGAGCTGATCTACATGGACGCCAAGAAGGCGAACACCTTCGAGGTCGCCGGGGAGAACTGAGACGAGGGAACGGGGAGGCGCGGGACGAGGGCGACGGCGAGTGATGGTGCGAGGTGGAGAAGGAGGAGGAGGAGGAGGAGGAGGAGGAGGAGGAGGACGACGACGACAAAGGAGGGAGGCGGAAGGGGAAGAGGAGAGGAGGACGAGGGAGCAGGAGGAGGATGATGATGAGGAGGAGGAGGAGGAGGGGAGGGGAAAGAGAGAGGACGGTGGGAGATTGCAGGAGTCGGCACGATCGAGGCGCACGAGGAGCAGGAGCACCCGCGGAAGCAGCAGCAGCAGCAGCAGCAGCAGCAGCAGCGGGAGAGCGGCGCCCCGGGGGGGAGAGGCGAAGGGGGGGAATCGGGGGGAGGGAGAAGGGGAAGGGATGAGGGGGAGGTGGAAGCGATGGGGAGCGGGAGGTGGAAGGGATGGCCAGAGGAGGAAGGGGAAGGGATGAGGGGGAGGTGGAAGCGATGGGGAGCGGGAGGGGCGAAGGGGGGGTTCTGGGGGAGGAGAAGGGGAAGGGATGAGGGGGAGGTGGAAGCGATGGGGAGCGGGAGGTGGAAGGGATGGCCAGAGGAGGAAAAGGTACCGATACTGCTACCCTTCCCTCGTTTTCGTCAGTTTGGGCCTGTTGGGAGGCTCTCGTCGCCACCGCCGGATTCGCCTCGAAATCCTGGTCAGAACGCACACCGGGAGAGGTCTGGGGAGGCTCCCCACATCTGGAGTGGGAGAGGGAGAGCAGGGCTTGGAGGAGAAGGAGCTGGAGGAGGAGGAGGAGGAGGAGGAGGAGGAGGAGGAGGAGGAGGAGGAGGAGGAGGAGAGGAGGAGGAGGAGGAGGAGGAGGAGGAGGAGGAGGAGGAGGAGGAGGAGGAGGATGCGTCCCCCCCCCATCGAGTGACACCTGGGCGCGAGTTGGGGGAGCCTGCGTCCTTCCTGGCACTGCAGGCCGTAGACGTTCAGACCCAGAAAGCTGAGAGTTTACTCCACTCCTCGGCGATGACATCACGATGTTTGTTACGTCTCCTGGTGGCAAGGCGCGCCCAGAGCAGAGTGGAGTGGAGGTGAGGTCCTTGTCCGATTCGGATTGTCAAGTCGAGCCGAGGAGGAGGATGCGGAGGGGGGATTCAGAAGGGGGAGAGGACGGGATCGAGGAAGCGCAGACATGGATTGTCAAGGCAAGCCGAGGAGGGGGGGATTTAGAAGGGAGAGAGGATGGGATCAAGGGAGCGCTGACCTGGATGATGGCGCGCGGAGTCGCGGCGGGTCGCGTTCGCATGCTCAATCGGCGCGCTCCGTCGCCAAACTAGATGGCATTGGCGCCATGCTTCGGGCTCACCTTCCCCGAGCCATGGATCTGGCGCAGGCGCGCCAGATCTACAGATACTCCGGATTCCAAAATAAAGTGGGGGGGTCACATTTGGGGGGGGTCTGACTTGAGCTGTCTTGGAGGGTTCGGGGGGGTCTGGGCAAGGGGCCGCCCTTTCATGGATGGTCTGGGGGGGTCTAAGACTTCTCGTCTGGGAGGGTTGTGACCCCCTTCCTTTTACTACGAAATCTGGGGTACCCAATCCACGTTGGCGCGTGCTTGAAAGCCGGAGGGGGGAGGAGCAAGGGATGGGCAGCGGGAGGGGGAAGGGGAAGGGCGGATTTGCGGCCCTGGCTGGGTCTCTCGGCTGCGGAACGCGAGGTCCCCGGTTCGTTACCGCTTTCTGGCCTCCCTCCTCCCTGCTCCGAGTTTCATCATAAGCGCCGGGGGGGCGTCACCCCCGCCGACAGCCCCACATCGACCCCCGTCGCGGAGCGACGTCGAGGCGAGGTTGACCCCCGTCGGGGGGGGGTACCCCCCCCACGCTTCTGAAGGAACCCAGAGTACAGTCAACCCGCATAGTAAGGGTGGGCAACCTTCCAAGGGCACCCTTGCATTCTTGCCTCCTCGGCCCTTCCTTGGCCGCTTTCGCCGGCTGCGCCCCGCTCGTAAAGTGTCGACATGGCCTTCCAAGGCCCTTGTATCCTCATCGCGCGTCCTTCTTCTACGGGTTGACTGCACAGTCGGGGCCCTGAAGAAGGAACCCTTTCCGTTGGGGAGGGGCTCCGCGTTCCCGAAGTGTTTCGCAGCTTGCCTCAGGCTTTCCTGATGGCTTCCACCGGAAATCGAAGGTCAACTTATGGAAAAAAGGGGCCTCGTTCCTTATTCGAAGGCCAACTTATGGAAAAAAGGGGCCTCCGTTCCTTCTTTAGGGTTCCTTCGGTCCACGCCCCGACTGTACTCTTCCCCCTCCCGGCTCCCCCTCCTCCCTCCTCCTCCTCCTCCTCCCTCCTCCTCCTCCTCCTCCTCCTCCTCCCTCCTCCTCCTCCTCCTCCTCCTCCTCCTCCTCCTCCTCCTCCTCCTCCTCCTCCCCCTGCGCTCCAAGGCGGCGGGCCCCGCGCCCCCCGAGGCCACGGCCCCCCGCCCGAAACGCGGCAGCTCCGCGCAAAGGCGGCCGACGCAGGCAAGCAAGGCCGCCAAACCACCCCAAGCCAACCCGAAGGCCTCAATTTGCCCTTCTCCTCCTCCTCCCTCCTCCTCCTCCCTCCTCCTTCCTCCTCCTCCCTCCTCCTCCCCTCCTCTCCTCCTCCTCCTCCTCCTCCTCCTCCTCCCTCCTCCTCCTCCTCCTCTCTCCTCTCCTCCTCCTCCTCCTCCTCCTCCTCCTCCTCCTCCTCCTCCTCCTCCTCCTCCCCTCCTCCTCCCTCCTCCTCCTCCTCCTCCTCCTCCTCCTCCTCCTCCTCCCTCCTCCTTCCTCCCTCCTATTTCCAGTGGGGGGGGGGTCGGGAACATTGAAAAACATATGGGACTCCGTACCCCCCCCCCCCCAACCCGAAATTCGAATCGAGTTCGTCTCTTCGGGTTGGGTTGGGGTGATCTGGCAGTGAGTCAGCCAATGGTGCCCGACATGCCTCCAGCACGGCCCAAGATGGCCCCGAGGCCTATGATGTTCCAGCCGACTTTAGCCTTGAGCACCAGAAAGAATGTCGAGCACCCGGAAAATACCGAAACTTGATGGTTTTTTCACGTGTCGGGCCCTGGGAGGCGACACGCGCTCGACGCTGAGTCGACACTTTTTCTGGGTGCTCGAAAGTGTTTCTGCGATGTGGTTCTTAAGTACGAGGGGAACAACATAACCCAAGGCGGCCTAAGATGGCATCAAGGTGACCCAAGAGGCCCTTCATGACGACGACCAGAGGCGTTTCTTGCAGAGCCACATGGCCGTAAAGGCCTCGTAGACGGCCCCAAGACCGCCCAAGGAAGCCCAAGCATTGGCAGATGGTCTCGGATGTTGGCCGATGTCGGATCCGTAGACGATCATTGGCATGACGACAGATCTAGCCATTCGGATAATTGTGTCGGTGTTGATACAACACGCCTGGCAGTCTACAAGCTTGATGCTCAGAGAATAGAGCGTCAGGTGTTGAAGTTGACGGGTGTCACTGGCATGACATCATGAACGGCGCATTGCCGGTTTCCCATTGTCATGAATGGCGTCGGCTTCCCAGATGTCGAGCTCCAGGCGTGGGCCTTGCGGCCTGGCGGCAAACCCCGCGCTGGCCCAGCACGGACGCCACCAGCCTTGCAAGGTTGCCCATCGCCAGAACATGGCTGCACATGTCATAAGACGTTTACCTCAACCTGGAGCTACTTGCTTGCAGCTGTCCGGATACTGGCCCGAATGGGAAGAGAGGGAAGGGGGTGAGAGGGAGAAGAAGGAGAGGGGAGAGAGAGAGAGAGGGAGAAACCAATCAACATCCACTTGATCCTGGTCGTGGTGCTCGAGATCGTCACCGTCGTCCTCCGCGTCCTCGACCCCTCCCCACTGGTTCTTCCTCCATCCTTCACAACCCATCAATCCGTCGCGTCTTCCTCGTTTCCGCGTTCCTCCTCGTCGTCCTCGTTGATGTTGCTGCTGCTGCTGCTCCTAGTTGTTCTCCTTCCTATTCCATCTTTACCCGTCCTTCCGCTGTTCCGCTCCCCCTTGAGGAGAAGGGCAGAGGATCAGCCAGCAGCAGCAGCGAGAGGATGACCAAGATAGGGGAGGACGAGGAGGAGGATGGGGGAAGAGAAGGAAGGGGAGGAAGAGGAGGGATCAGGATGACAGGATGATGATGATGGTGGGTGATGATGCAGCTGCTGACGACGTTAGTGACTATGATGCTAACGATGACGAGTATGATGGTGATGGAGATGATGACGATGAAGATGCTGCTGCTGCTGATGATGATGACGATGATGCTGGTGATGATGGTGCTGATGATGTTGGTGATGCCGTTGTTGATGATGCTGACGGTAACGCTGATGTTGATGTTGTTGTTGTTGATGCGATTGGTGATAATGAGTTTGGTGATAATGAGTATGGTGATGATGACGATGGTGATGCTGGTGGTGGCGATGATGTTGATGATGGTGATGGAGACGGAGATGGTGATGAGGAGAGGAGTATGATGATGTTGATGATGATGACGACGATGCTGATGATGGTGGTTGTGATGGTCATGTTGATGTTGATGCTCAGTATGACGGCGGTGATGATGCTCATGATGATGATGTCGATGATGTTGGTGGTGATGATGATGGTAATGTTGATGTCGATGCTGATGCTGGTGCTACTGTTGATGATGTTGCTGGTGATGCTGCTGATGCTGATGATGCTGTTGATGATAATGATGATGATGATGATGATGATGATGATGCTGCTGAGGAGGACGAGGAGGAGGAGCAGCGAGGAGGAAGTTGAAGGAGGGAGGCGGAGAGAGGAGGAGCGAGGAGGAAGGGGAAGGAGCGAGGCCTCCTGCTGCCTTCCCCCTGCGAGGTCGGCCTCAGGCCGAACCCGAAGCCTGGCGAGAAGTCCCAGCCTGTCACCCCGCTGCCGATCGACACGCCCCTGACCGAGGACCTCCTGGAGTTCGACGCATGCCTGGAGGACAAGAAGGCCCCCCCCCCTCCTCGAGACTCGAGGATCGAGGGCCTCTCCTCGAGACTCGAGGCCTCCTCGAGTCTCGCTGATCGAGGGCCCTCCTCGAGACGCGAGGATCGAGGAGCGAAGTGAGTGTTCAGGGGGGATCGGCCTTGCCCCTCCTCGGCCTCCAGAGCCCCCGGGAGGCCCCCGGGGGACCTCCTTGGAGACCCCGTGGGGGCCTCAGGAGACCTCGCTCCTCCTCGCTCCTCCTCGCTCCTCCTCGCTCCTCCTCCTCCTACCTCCTCCTCCTCCCCCGCCTCCTCCTCCTCCACCTCCTCCTCCTCCCTCCTCCTCCACCTCCTCCTCCTCTCCCTCCTCTCTGCCTCCCTCACTCCTCCTCCCCCCTCCCTTCCCCCTCCATCTCCCCTCTCGCTCTCTCTCCGCCTCACTCCTCTCCCTCCCCCTCCCTTTCCTCCATCCCCCTCCGTTTTGAGCACCTCCCCCGTCGCACCACCAGCTGCTAGAGGTTTCTTGCTAATGTGTGAGGCTGAAGCTAGAATTCCAACAGCTGCAAAGAATGCGGACCGGAGGTTTTCAAAATTCGGTTCGCGCCTCTCCACCGCTGGCACTCAAGTTTAAACGGTTCCAACATGTGCACAGGGATGGAGGCAGGTTTTCGATTTCAAAGTGTGGCTCTCGCCTTAGAGCCGCGCGCGTTCGTTCGACGGTGCCCAGCAGCCACACGGATGGAGGACAGGTGGTTCTCAAAATGCTAGACTCGTTTTAGCGCCACGACATTCGACTCATCCAGCTGCCTACGGCAACCCCCAGGGAGACCTCCAGGAGAAGGGGTGGCGCACGCAAGTGGGCGCGACGTGAGGAGTGGGTGGGTCTCTTACAACACTACAGAACCCTGCCAGGCAGCACTCGGCACCCTTCCACGCCTCAGCGAGCCAGGAGGCACGGTGTCGGATGAGTTCCCAACAGTGGCTAGGATCCAGGCCAGTGCATGTTCAATGCGCGGGTTTCGTTTGAGATGTCCCAGGTTCTGTATCCCGAAATTCCAAATGCCGCAACGGATGCGCGGATGAGGAACGGCTCCTTTCCAAAATTGGGTTTTCGTTTGACCCATCTGCATATTGCATGGCAATGCTTTGAGAGAGTGCAACACGTACACCTTAGAGGGCAACTACGTAGCACCCCGCAATTGCGGATAAGAGTGAGGGGGCGGGCGCGGGCGACGCGGGCGTCGAGCCGGCGGACCTCGTGGCCCTCACCTTCCTTGTCGATGGCGCCTTCCTCCTCCTCCTCCTCCTCCTCCTCCTCCTCCTCCTCATCATCATCATCATCCTCCTCCTCCTGCTCCTCCTCCTCTTCCTCGTCCGCGTCCTCGTCCTCATCGTCGTCGTCGTCGTCCGCCTCCTCCTCCACCCCCTCCTCCTCTTCCTCCTGTTCCTCCTCCTCCTCCTCCTCGTCCTCCTCCTCCTCCTCCTCTTCCTCCCCCATCCCGATCCTCCCCCCTCCTCCTTTCCGTCGTTGTCCTCCTCCTCCTCCTCCTCCTCCTCCTCCTCCTCCTCCTCCTCCTCCTCCTCCCACTCCTCCTCCCTCCTTTCTCGTCGTCCCCCTCCGTCCCCCCCTCGTTTTCCTCCTCGCCCTCATCGTCGGCCTCCCCTTCATCCTCGTACTCGTCGTCGTCGTCTTTCTCCTCCTGCTCCTCGCCCTGCTCCTCCCCTCCTCCGCGGAGCGCGCGCGCGCGCGGGGCGGGGCGGCGACGGTGACGGCGACGGCGACAGCGATGGCGGCGGCGGCGACGGCAACGGCGATGGCGGCGGCTGCGGCGGCGGCGTCGGCGGCGGACGCGGCGACTGGGTCGCGGGCTCTCCACCTCCACCTGGAAGGAATTCAAAAACAGCCCGCCGCAGGCGCCGAAGATTTTGATTTGTACGCTGAACGCGGTTTGGGTCGCAGGTTCTCCACCTGGAACGGATGCAAAAGAAGCCCGCCGCAGGCGCCGAAAATTTTGGGTGAGTCGCGGGGTGGGTCGCGGGTGGGTCGCGGGTGGGTCTCAGGGGGTCGCGGGTGGGTCGCGGGTGGGTCGCGGGGAGGGGGTCTCGGGGTGGGTCGCGGGCGGGTCGCGGGGTGGGTCGCGGGGTGGGTCGCGGGTGGGTCGCGGGTGGGTCGCGGGTGGGTCGCGGGTGGGTGGCGGGTGGGTCGCGGGGTGGGTCGCGGCTGGGTCGCGGGGTGGGTCGCGGGGTGGGTCGCGGTTGGGTCGCGGGGCGGGTCGCGGGTGGGACGACGACAACAAACATCAAACAACAACCAACAACCAACAACCAACAACAACCAACAACGACAACAACAAGAATCCGCATCGCGGAATTTCACTTCAGCCACGCACCCAGGGACAGTGAATGACCGTTCGGTTCAGCCCCCTCACTCTGATGTTTCACAATGAGGCTGTCATTTGACAAATCCTTCAATGCTATCATCCAACTGTACCTGTTTGCGTTTCGGTCAGCTAGAAGGATGGAGGACAGACCCTTGACAAAACGGAGTATCGCCGGAAGGGCATGCCCGTCGGGAACTTGTCATTCAAGGGGGCGCGCGTTTCCCACAGTGAAAATTAATACATAGCTGCAGGAACTTATGAGGAGGGGGAGTTGGCACGAGAGGGTTAGAGCCCGTTTCTTTATTGCTTGGGGCATGACGGGTTTCATGGCCTCCGCTCCCCCCCCCCCACCACCCCAAGACGTAACGCTCCCCCCCCCCAGTGCGCTCCGGGCACTGCCGCCGTGCGCATTGGGATCCGCGTAGGTGTCCGCGTAGGAATCCGCATAGGTGTCTGGTCCGCAGGAGTCGTCGTCGTCGTCGTCGTCGTCGTCGTCGTCGTCGTCGTCGTCGTCGTCGTCCGTCGTCGTCGCTCGTGGTTCGTCGCTCGTCGCTCATCGTCGTCGTGCGCGCGGACGCGGCTGGAGCCTGTTTTTTAGTCCGGGCCGATGACGGCACTCATCTGGGGGGGGAGGGGGTCGATGACGTCACGTTTCGCGCCGGCGGCGTTTGGGAATGCTTAGGAATGACGGAGGACGGGTGGCACGAACATGTAGGTGGCGATATGCACCACAACGCCTGTGTACATCACAGTGCCCGCGTGCACCGCAGCGCCTGTGTACACCACACCGCCGATGTGCACCACAGCAGCCGCTTGCAACACAGCGTCAGTTTGTGCCACCGTGCCTGCGGGCACAGCAGCTCCTGCGTACACCACAGCGCCTCCGTACCCCACATCAGCCGTGCGCAACACAACACCAGTGTACACCACAATGCCTGCGTGCATTGCAGTGCCTGTACGCCACGGCGCCTGTGTGCACCACATCAACCGTGTGCAACACAGCACCATTGTTGTGTAAAGAATTGCATAAGGGATCCTTGTGACAAAATGGAGCGCGTGTGGATTCCAGAGAAAACAATGGAAAACAAATCCTCATGGACAAAGGAGCGCCGCTGGAATCTACGAGTCCCCCCGAGTCCGCCCGCATCACCCTAATTCCCACTTGCGTCCAGGAGGTTCCAGCTAAACTGGCCGTCCGAGAACCAAGTGGACCGATTCATTCGACCATTCTGCGGTGCACGCTGAGATGCGCACGTGCGTTGTAACGCCAAGCCGCACGACAGGGGGTAAGAAGGAGGAAAAGGAGGAAAAGGAGGAGGAGGAGGAGGCGGAGGAGGAGGAGGAGGAGGAGGGAGGATGGAAAAATGTCGTATTCGATTATCAGAACTTTCCTGGCGTGGCGTTTAGTTGTCCGCAGCAGATCCTGACGTACATGTTCCTTCTACTTGTTTTGTGCACGCAGGCACTGGTGTACACCAGCGCTGAGTTGCACGCGGATGCTGTGGTGTAGACAGGCGCTGTGGCGTGCACAGGCGCTGCGGTGCACGCAAGCACTGTGGTGTACACAGGCGTTGTGTTGCACATGGCTGCTGCGGTGTATGTACACCGGCGCTGTAGTGTTCCCAAGTATTGTGGTATACACGGGCGGTGCATTGCACACGGCTGTTGCGGTGTACGCAGGCGCTGTGGTGCACGCGCGGTGTGGTGCACGCGAGCGCTGTGGTGCACACAGGCGCAATGGGCAGATCGCCACTTACATGCTGCTCGCGTCGTCGTCGTCGCTCGTCGCTCGTCGCTCGTCGCGTCGTGCGCGCGGGCGCGGCTGTGGTGCCGGAGCCACTCGGCGGGGGGGGCGTCACGTCATACCCCCCCATGGCGCCCGTCATCGCCGAACATAAAGAAACGCGTTCTTACTGCAGCATCGTTGATGCATCCTGTGGCTTACTCTGGTTCCTCCTCGTGCGCTGAGTCAGTAGAGCGGGGAACGGGAGGCCACGCTTTTTCGAGCTATCCCAAAAGACGTCTGGGCCTTATCTTTTTCGCTCTCTCTTTCTCTCTCTCCCTCTCTCTCTCTCTCTCTGTCTTTCTGTCTTTCTTTCTCGTTGCATCCTCCCTCGGGCACCGCTCTTCTTAGTGTCTCGGCTCCGTGGGAAGGGAGAGGGCGCGCCCGGTCGCCCGCTTTGCAGGTCGCGGGGGCGCTCCCTGCGGAGCACTTGCGGCGGGCGAGTCGGTTTCTGCGGCGGCCACGTCTTCGTCCCCTGTGCACGTGCGTTGTTTTTGTCCCACGTGTGTGTTTTGTATGTTTTTTTGTGTGTGTGTGTGTGTGTTGTGTGTGTGTTGTGTTGTGTGTGTGTGTTTTCCCACTGTGTGTGTGCGCTTTTCCCACTGTGTGTTTTTGTCCAACTGCGGGTTTTTTCCCACAGCACATCCACTCGGGTCCCTCCCCCCCGGGGGTCCAAGCGCTTGCGGGCGCCACAGGCGCCCGGGCCGGGCTCTTCCCCCCATTGGCCCCCGCGCGGTCGCGCGGCCCGGCGCCGACTCGCTCCCTCGGGGCGGGGACGCGAGCGGCCGCGCCCGGGGGAGGCTCCCCGACCGCGGCGGCGCCCCACCGGGGGGGGCGCAGCGGCCCGCCGCGCGCGGGCGC